GAGAGAGAGAGAGATCCTACAAATAGGTCCAAGTCTAACTGTTGTCCTGACCCAGAGTAGATGAGTATCTCTCTGTTAAATAGCGAGCATACCCTGTTATAATCTTTTGGTTCATCACCCTTTTCTTTCAGGAACCTGCTTACCTAACAGCACGTATACCCTTTTAGTCTTCAGCGTTCCTGTGGGAGGGCAGCACCTTCTACAAAACCCCATTGCTCTTTCTGCAGTCAAGAATGAGCGGCCTGGTGCCCTACACCTACCCTGTTATACCTTTACACTTTCAGTGTGACCCCCTTGTGACTATCCCCCAACCACTTCAGATGTAGTGACAAGAGCGTTCCAACCAACCCCCCTGCCCCCGCACCCCAATCCCCGCACCAGAGTCAGAAATCTACAATGGAGATTCCTCAGTGACCCTGTGTCTGATCTGTTGCCCTCCCCTCTTTGTTTGCCCCCATGTGGGCGGGTCAGACTAGCTGCACTCCCTGCACTATATCTTCAGTGCTTTCCTCTTACGCTGTCATCTAGGGAGGAGACATCATGTCTCTAGCTCAGGCAGGCCCTGCAGTCCCCTCGGTGAATGAGCTCCTCTGAGAAGGAACAGAGCCCAGAAGGCTTGGGGCATGGGAATGCTGTCTGCTCTCTCTCTCCCTTTCCTGTGGAGATGAACGATACTCTCACTTTGGGTGGATTAGTGCCCTGTTCGCTCATTGCCATCATTTTCCCTCCCCATCACTCTGTGGACCATAAAGTCATTTAGGTGGGGTGGGGGGAATTCTTCCTGCACAGTTGCTGTCTACATCTTTTTTCATTATTTCTTTCATTTCTTTTCTACTCTTTGAAGACATAAGCATCATTGTGTTTAGTCTGGCTCTTGTTAGAGTCTCTGGTCCTCAGCCCAGGAACTGTGCAATGTGAACATTTTCCCTGTGCCCGTTCTGTTGTTTGAACTTACCTCAGAGGACTCACATTGTACTTGTCCCTTTGTGCTTGGCTAACTTCAGTAAACATAATGTTCTCTAACCCTTTCACTGAGACAAGGCACCTCATCATTTCATCCCTGTTTTTTAGGGATGTGTACATTCTCCATTGTGAATATGTAGCAGAGTGTTTTAATCCCTTGATAGGAATTTAGGCTGTTTCCAATGCTTTGAGATTGTAAACTGCATGGCAATGAGCATTGGACCGAAGGTGTCTGCTGGTGGATTGTTTCTTCTTTCTTCTGGGTATATGCCCAGTAGTGAAATTGCTGGATGGTAAGATAACTTGATTTCAATCTGTTTAAGGTATCACCAATTGCTTTGCATGGTGGCTATACATATCTATAAGACCACCAGCAGTGAATGA